GGAAGCATCATGCTGAGGGACGCTGTCCATGTGAGGACGGATCTGTGGCCCTCGAAACGTCCTGCAGCAGGTCAATCGTTACGTCAACTTGTGGAAACACAGCTGGAGGTCAAAGGTCAAAAGGTGAAGCCGCTCCATCCTGTAACGCTACAAAAATCATCTAAATAAATATTTAAGGCTCCAGCTGCCGCAGAATTATTTACAAACTCCTTAATAACCTGGAGGTCAAAGGTCATGCTGACATGACAGCTAACATCATTGAGCAGGTTCGAGCTCAGGATCACATGAATGAACCACTGGGCTTCAGGTTTTAAATAGGACATGTGGTCAGAAAAGACCAAACAAAATGTAAGAAACCAGTTGATCCAGTGGACAGGGGGGGCAGCCCTGGTGTCCTGCAACTGCTGGACGTCTCCTGGTCCAAGGACCACCTCCGACTGCAGTCAGGTTCTCCAGAGTCCTGCTAATGACGTCATTATTTGACTCAGGTGTGTGGAAGTGGCCCAGCCCTGATCTAAAGGAACATTTCAGTTCAATGTTTAGTTTGCGCTGAACACGCCCTTTTTGTCCACCAGAGGGCGATGCAGGCTCAGTGAGTAGAGTCGTGCTTCTTTAGTTTTAACCCTACAGCTGCATACAATGTAATTAACTGTAAATTAATTAACTTTATTCACAAGATGTAACAGCTGCGTTATATTCAAACCTCTAAATTAGAATGAAACTTTTCTAAACGTTTTAACCTTCAGGTTTTCTATTGGAGCTCAGCGAGTCACATGACCGGAAATGAACAAGTCGGTTTTTCACAAATTTTTTAGACTAATTTTGCTCATTTATCTTTATTTTGTGATGCAAAACAACAGAAGTGATTTGCAAACTAGACTTTCTTCTCACCGTGTTTGATTCATGAGTTAAAATGTGACATTTTTCCGAACTGTGAGTGAAACTGGAATGGTCCGGATTCCACTGGTTTCCTCCCCAGAGGTGCAGCTGATTATGCTGTTTGGTGTTTAAGTGGATGGTATCTGCCCTGTTATCTGCCCCTCTGCCCCATTATCTGCCCCACTGCCCCGTTATCTGCCCCGTTATCTGCCCCGTTATCTGCCCCACTGCCCCGTTATCTGTCCCACTGCCCCGTTATCTGCCCCTCTGCCCCACTGCCCCGTTATCTGCCCCACTGCCCGTTATCTGCCCCACTGCCCCGTTATCTGTCCCACTGCCCCATTATCTGCCCCACTGCCCCGTTATCTGCCCCACTGCCCTGTTATCTGCCCCTCTGCCCCATTATCTGCCCCACTGCCCCGTTATCTGCCCCACTGCCCCGTTATCTGCCCCACTGCCCCGTTATCTGCCCCACTGCCCCGTTATCTGTCCCACTGCTCCGTTATCTGTCCCACTGCCCGTTATCTGCCCACTGCCTTGTTATCTGCCCCACTGCCCTGTTATCTGCCCCACTGCCCTGTTATCTGCCCCACTGCCCCGTTATCTGCCCCACTGCCCCGTTATCTGCCCCACTGCCCCGTTATCTGCCCCACTGCCCCGTTATCTGTCCCACTGCCCCGTTATCTGCCCCACTGCCTTGTTATCTGCCCCACTGCCCTGTTATCTGCCCCACTGCCCTGTTATCTGCCCCCTGTTTTTGGCTTAATGGTGTAAATTTAAAGCTGAAATGAGGAATCGGGTCCGGTTGAGAGGTCGGGTCACATGTTCTCATCTCTTTGCAATGAATTAATTAATCTGTAATTATAAATATTCAATAATCTCACATTTTACCAAAGACTTTTTTTTACGTTTATTTAATCTCATTTCTTTCTACTGGAGTAAAAATTTTGAAGCAAAGATTTTGAATGAATGTTCTCCAAACCAACCAACACTGATAATAAATAAAGTCTTTTAATGTCAGTTCTGTTGATATATCCAGAGTACAGACAGATAAATACAAGAACAACATCCACTTCCTGTTTTCATTCAAGTACAACAAACACTTCAGTGCTTTCTGAGCCGTTGGAAGATTTCTAATTTAACAGCATGGACGTTCACTGGAAGAATACCATCATGCAGGTCAGGATATTGCAGAGAACTTTGGCTTAAAAACAACGACGATAGTTTAAGTAGCAGACCTGAACGCAGCACAACGTCCTGGGTGTGCAGACCGGCCGCTCGGCTCGGCCGATCAGGAGCTGCCCGAGTTACATTCAGCAGTCAGACGGAGAGAACGTGGCTGGAACCAACGCCGCTACCAATCAGAGACGACCCGCACAGGAAACAGAAACCTGCTGCTCTATGGAATGCTTTTATTTTGAAAAATCCACTGCTTTCGGCTTTTGGCCTCACAAACCGACACGTTTCAGTCAAAAACTCGATCGCGTTAACGAGTTCTTCCTCTATTGCTAAACTCGACCCATTGATTATTTGAGTATAAAAATATTACTAACAGGTTTCTAAACCATCTGGACACCAGGAAGCCCCGCCCACTGACCTCTGAACTCTACAGGATGGAATCAGGAAACGAAGAGCTTCTGATCAAGACGGCGACACGATCAGATTAACAGTCAGGATGCTGGAAAACCCAGAGAGACCGGACAGGGAGAGCATGCAATCTGCCCGTTACCTGCCCCACTGCGCAGCTATCTGCCCCACTGCACAGCTATCTGCCCCACTGCACAGCTATCTGCCCCACTGCGCAGCTATCTACCCCACTGCGCAGCTATCTACCCCACTGCGCAGCTATCTGCCCCACTGCGCAGCTATCTGCCCCACTGCGCAGCTATCTACCCCACTGCGCAGCTATCTACCCCACTGCGCAGCTATCTGCCCCACTGCGCAGCTATCTGCCCCACTGCGCAGCTATCTACCCCACTGCGCAGCTATCTATCCCACTGCGCAGCTATCTGCCCCACTGCACAGCTATCTGCCCCACTGCGCAGCTATCTACCCCACTGCGCAGCTATCTGCCCCACTGCGCAGCTATCTACCCCACTGTACAGCTATCTGCCCCGTTATCTGCCCCATCATATCAATCTGTACCTGGGGAATCCAGCTGGTTTACTGTAAATTTTGTCACTGAGTTTCATCGTAACAGAAACATCAACACAGGAAGCAGCAGAGAACTTTCACAATAAGAGTCCAGATGGCTTCGTCCAGCAGAAATGATATTAACCAGATGTGGAACGCACCTGGTCGTTCCACCTGGTGACAGGCCAGAAACCCGTTAGCAGTTAACGAGCTAACGCTAACCTGGACCTGTTCCGCTGTCAGGTCATGTGACCTGGAACTGGAACCAGGTGACTGGTTCCTGGAATCACCTGTCAGGACCCGTTCCACCTGCAATGTGACATCATCATGATGATGTCATAAGCTGGAGATGATGCTCCTGGTCTGCCATGTTTGGATTTTAAGTCTTGGAAGACAGAAGCTGATTGGTTTGTTTCTGAAACATGCTGCCCTCTGATTGGTCGGTAGCTGCTATGATTCATTATTGCATCGTCTGTAAACAAGTTTTCTTCACATTCCGGTCATCTGTAGTGTTTTCTTTGTTTCACCTCAGTAGTCTCAGCGCCTTCAAAGTAAAATGTCACTTCCTGTGGTCATTTTCCGTTCAGATGGCTCCGCCTCCTTCAGGTGTCAGAAGAGCAGACTCCGCCTCCGCATCGGGCTGGTAGCTGCTAACAGAAAACGTTTCAACATCACAAACCTAAAGCTGACACTTCTGATTCCTGGTGACCTGCTTCACCTCTGACCCTCACTGCTCTGATGTTTTACTGAAAGGTCTAACGGTGTCCGTTGGACCAGGTTAAAGTTCTGCAACCGGAACAGATCGGACCTGATCTTCCAGAACCAAAGTTCGGAGGAATCTGGTTTGTGTTTGAGGTTCTACCAGAACCATGTTTCCCTCAGGAACCTCAGGCTACCTGGTGAACACCGCTAATGCTAAAGTGCTATACCAACATGCTATATGGCAGAAGCTAATGCTAAACGCTAAACTCAACCATGTTGACACCGACCATAAGTGGTGGGCACTGCTAGCTAAAGAGCTAGCTGCACACTAATTATAATCATATGAATGCTAAAGCACAAAGCTAAAAATTAGCTCTGCTGTTAGCAGAAGTAGCGCCCAATCCAGACGGGACCCCCAGGTGTGTGACGGTTACCTGGATCAGGAGCTGCCGGCGGCCTCACGCTCTCCTTCTCCAGCTGGATCTCCGACAGACTGAAGATGGACGCCGCTGAAACGCAACCATGTGACCTTAGTGACATCACAGACAGGAACGGTGTCCAAGGTTCCACTTACTGTCAGGAAGTGATGTCACTCTGTTTCCAAGGTTACTGAAGTAGCGATGTTTCATGGCCTCGTCAGCAGAGATCCTTTTCTTCCCTTCAAACTAAAGTTCAAACACTCATCAGAGCTGCTTCAGCTGTTACCATAGAAACACTGAGGCATTCACTGACCTGCAGGAACTTTGACAGCAGCTCCACTCCTTCACTGCTGAGCCTGGACACAGAGAGGAGGATGATCTCAGCTATCTGAGGGTACCAGCAGGTATTTCAGGGGCGTCTGAGTATACCCCAGAAATCACAGAAATACCTGTGGGTATTACTGGGGTATCTGGGTGTACCTGGGAGTATATATGGGCATACCTGAGGGTATTTCTGGTATGTCTGGGCGTACCTGGGGGTATTTCTGGTGTACCTGGGGGCATTTCTGGGGTATTTAGGCATACCTGTGGGTATTACTGGGGTATCTGGGTGTACCTGGGAGTATATATGGACGTACCTGAGGATATTTCTGGAGTATCTGGGCATACCTGAGGGTATTTCTGGGGTATTTGGGTGTACTTGGGGGTATTTCTGGGATATCTGGGCGTACCTGGGGGTATTTCTGGGGTATCTGGGGGCATTTCTGAGCATACCTTGGGGTATTTCTGGGGTATCTGCGCGTACGGGGGCATTTTTGAGCGTACCTCTGGGTATTTCTGGGCGTACCTGGGGGTGTGGCTGTTCAGCCTCTCGGCTCGGTACTGGGGGAAGTTGAAAGCCAGGAACTCCTGGTTGGAACTGATTCCAGGCCAGCTTCGCTCTCTGGGCGTTCCTGCAGACGAAAACAATATTCAGTCAACAACAATGCCGGATACAGATTGGCTCTCGATGATGGAAGCTGATTGGTTAATACCCAACAGCTTGAAGATGAAGTGAAGCTCCTCCTCAACTGTAGAGCCAGGAAAGAGAGGGCGACCCGTCACCATCTCATAGAAGATACACCCAACACCCCTGGAGACACAAGGGTAGAGACGGGTGGAAACGGCTTGTAGGAGGCTGAAGGTCCGAACTGTCCCCTTAATTCAAAACCAGAACCCAGAAGGTACAAACAAAGAGTTTCTATTTCAGGTCGCTGTCCCTGAGGGCTGGTACCAGAACCGACAACCAGCGCCCCTGGAGTCTGGAAGGGACACCCAGTGTATGTCAACCGTCCATCAACAGGACAACCAACCATGGAGACACAACCACCACTAACACCAGATGAGAGACCAAGAAACCCAACCGACATGTTTCTGGACAGAACCAAGAGGGAACCCAGAGAGAACCCAAACAAAACCCAGAG